ATTCTTTTTTTTTTTTTTACGTTGTCTTCTGCTATTATTACACACAAAATATTTAAAAATCCTTTATTATTAGCAAAAATCTCCAGTTAGCCTAAGTATATTTTGTTCCAGTCAGATCCAAGTAAGAACCACACATTTCTAAACTGCTCTTTACTGACTTGTCCTTTTCTGATGTTACCTGTTGACTTCCTAGGCTGACATATAAGGCTTTAGCATTTTAGAAGCACGTAACACCATTCACACGTCTCCTTTTCTCCCAGTCTCACAGCTTTTGGTCAAATTAGCGTGCACTGTTCTACAGTGTTACAGCCCTGAAAGTATTATTTACTGCAGAGCCGGTAACATTCTAACTATTTTGTCCCTGTGTGATTATTTTCCCTGGACTTAACAATAGTTTATCCTTTAATATGCTTAGTTTTTCTGGTGCCTTTCCTGGTGCTGTGCCTTCCCATACTTTCTCATAGGTTTTCAGTAACATTTTTATCAAACCGTCAGGGAATGTCAGTTGTTTCCCTGGAGCCTTAAGCCTCCTGCCCTGATCAGACCAGTCCTTTCCAGGCCTGGGGCCCTGCACAGTGTCCAGAACTGTCTTCAGCATCATCTGGTGGTTCTTCCACCTCTCCCTTGTGAAACCCTTGTTTTTTTAAAGTCCTATTTAGAAGTATGTTCTCCAGGTCAGAAACAATGCATGCAATATTAACCTCCATGTCTCTGAAAGTGTTGCCTTGTTGAGTGTTGAATTCTGAGTTCCACATCATTTTTGATCAGAATTTTTTTCTTGGAAACCATTTTCATGTACCAGTAATTCTGGTAAGAAGTCTCATACTGCCCTGATTCTTTACTTTTGAAACAATCTGTTTGTCCTTCTTAGAAATTTTTATCCTTTTCTCCTTTTAAAATCTTCAGGGTTAGGCTATGTCTAGATATGACCCTACTAACCCCTTTTGAGGCTTTTCAGTTGGGAAAATTATGTCTTCCTTTAGCTCTGAGAAATGTTCTTTATAATTTCTTAGATGATTTCCTGTTATCCCTTTTCTTCTTTCTGAATTCTTATTTAGGGTCAAGTTGAACTTCCTGCCTTGTTGTTCTATATCCTTTTGTATCTTCTGTGTATTTTCTCCATGTATTGTAAAAGGTTTCCTTTTTCTTAATTTCCAGGTTTTTTACTCACTTCTTAATTTCAGTGTTCATATTGTCAATTCCCAAGAGCTCATTTTTGTCAGTTTATTTCCTTTATTCTTGATGGGCGTAGTATCTTCAGAATCTCCGAAGACATGAGAATTTTTTTTAAAGCTTCTCATTTGTCCAAATTTCCTTTTCCTTTATAGGGTCTGTTTTGTCTTTATTTTAGTCCTTGTCATGCTGTTGCTTTTCTTCAGATGCCCTGTAATACAGTGGATCCTCAAGTTAGGACCAGCCTGACATATGAACAACTTGAGTCAATTAGGTTAATGGAAGATTCATCTGCCTCTTGTTATCTATATCATGTACCAGGTAAACATCCAGATCTCAGCTGTATTGACTTACAACCAACTTCAGTTATAACCAGCCTCTGGGAGCCAATCGAGTTCATAAGTCAAGAGCCCATTGTACATTTTTTGGCCACTCATAATGAATGATGGAAGAGTCCTTTTAGTGTATAGGCCTTGATTTCCTCTGGAATTGGTTGTCTGCCACATAGGATTCTATCCTCAAATTAAGCCCATATTGCTCTCTTTGGAGCATAACCAGACTTCCTGCAGGGAAGCCCTTTGATGGTGCATGCCTGTTATCCCAGCACTCTGGGAAGCTGAGACAAAAGGATCACCATTCAAGTCCAGCTTGGGCAACTTAGTAAGATTTTATCTCAAAAAAAAAAAAAAGTATATAAAGGGCTGGAGATGTAGCCCAGTGTGAAGGCCTTGGATTTAATCCTCAGTACTGAAAAAAAAAAAAAAAAAAGAAAGGAAAAAAAAAGAAAAGGCAGTAGTGAGGACCTAGGAACCCAGGCCTGGCCACCAAACAGCCCTGAGTTTTGTAGTTGTAAGGTGTGAATATTAATCATATCTCCTGCACTTGATCACTGTGAGAATGAAGTGGCATTTATAAAGAGCTCAGCAGATTGGCCCAAGTATGCAGTGAGTGTATCCATTGTCGTCAGTTGTGATACAAATGAGTGTGCTGATGGATGTTTTCAGGGTTCTCTCTTTATAGATTCTGTCACAGATGTAGAATTATTCAATCTGCAGGCAAGTATTACAAAGTGCTCATTTTTTGAGAAAACGATAGTGTTTTATGAATGGGCTCCTTAGTATTATCTTTGTTCAACTAACAAAACATGATTCAAAGCACTGAGGGTGATGTCAGTAAAGTGACCCATCTCAAAGGCCCAGTTTCATTTCCCCACTTCAGCTTCTAGAATAAAGGCACAGCCAAACAATGGCTCCAACCTCCGGTCCTCCAGGCTGAATGTTGCTGCAGAGAACGTGCCTGACATTTCTCAGTGGGTCTTTGTTCATCACTCAACCTGACCTTCTGAAGAAATACAGGGCCTTTCTTCTGACTTTCCAACATCCGTGGCTGTATTGCTATGTCACATCATCATCCTTGTCACATCATCATCAGGACAGTGAATGGTGACACTGAGTCATAATTAGAAATAATGTCTTTACTGCTAAGACACTGCAGCTTACTTTTGTGAGTTTTGTTGTTGTGGTGGTGGTAGTGGTACTGGGGATTGAACCCAAGGAGCACTGAACTATATCTCCAGCCATTTTTTTTCCTTTTGAGACAGTCTCTCTTTGTAGTTTAAGTTGGCCTTGAACTCACTATGTAGCTCCCTGTGGCCTCAAACTCATGGCAATCCTTCTGCTTCAGCCTCCCGAGTGCTGGGATTTCAGGTGTATGCCACCATGCCCAGCTCTCCAGCCATTTTGATTATTTTGAGACAGTCTTGCTAAGTTGCCCAGGCTGGCCTAGAACTTTGTATCCTCCTACCTCAGCCTCCTGAATGGCTGGGATTATTGATGTGTGTCACCATGCTCAACTTTCCAAGTCTTTTGAATTTATGTGCCAGGCACTTAACCCATACAAGAACCTGTAGGACAGAGCTAGGGATTTAGCTCAGTGGTTCTGCCGCCTGCCTCACAAGCACAAGGTCCTGAGTTCGATTCCTGACTAACCCCCCCAAAAAAAGAACCTGTAGGACAAATGGTATTGTATCTTACATTGGGCAGCCAAGGTATGAAGAAGTTAAACAGCTTGTCCATGGTCATCTACAGGTTGAGGAAGGCTCAGGGACCAGAAAGAACGCATGTCTCTCCCAACTGTTAACTGCTGTTCTTGGGTGGGGGTAGGGGTGGGAGGGTGTTCAGGCTGGTGGTTTTTATTCCATGACAATCTAACAATCTACCCACTTGTGCAGAACCCCCCTAATAGGGTCTGTTTGCCTGGGCCCTTCCAGATAAGCACCAAAGTTTTCTATAACTAATTGAAATTCTTGTTAAGTTATAAACTGCCACAGCTTTAACCCTGCCTGTAAAGAACTGTTTTCTTCTGGGTGTGCTGGTGCAAGTCTATTAATCTCAGCTACTATACTTGGTGGACTGAGATGGGGGAATCATGAATGTCTTAGTCACTTTCTTGTTGCTGAGACAAAATATCCAACACTCACAACTTAAAGGAGTAGAGGTTTGTTTTGGCTCATGGTTTCAGAAGTTTCAGTCCATAGTTGCCAGTCTCAAATGCAGAAATGACAGGAAGGGCCAGGTGCAGAAGAAAACTGCTCATCTTATGACAGCCGGGAAAGAGAGAGTAGAGGAGCCCCCAGTGATCCACCTCCAACCAGGCTTTACCTCTTAAGTCAACAGGAGACTGAGCCAGGAGGATTGCTGTGAGTTCCAGGCCAGCCTGTGCTACCTAGTGAGTTAAAGCTGCCCTAGACTACAAAGCAAGACCCTGTCTCAAATAAATAAATAAATAAATAAATAAATAAAAAATCAAACCAATCAATTTCCAAATACATGAGACATCGGGGGATACCCCAGCTCTAAACCATAGCAGTGAGTTCAAGGCCAGCCTGGGCAATTTAGCCAGACCTTGTCTCAAAATTAAAGATTTTTGGTGGGTGTGGTGTCTCATGCCTATAATCCCCACACTTAGGAGGCTGAGGGAGACCTCAAATTGGAGGCCAGCCTGGGCTACATAGTGAGTTCAAGGACAGCTTGAACTATACAGCAGGACCCTGAGACCTTGTCTCAGAAAAAAAAAAATTAAAGATTAAAAAAAAAGTACTAGGGTAGAGCACCTTCCTGGTAAGGCCTTGGATTCAGTCTCCGATACCACCAAAACACAAAAACAGGACAAAAACTGCTTTCTTGGCAGAGCTCCTATCTTAACTTCCCATCCTCATAAAAATAACTTTAACAAAGATGGAGTCCCCCCCCCCCTTTTTGGGGAGAGGCAGTTGAAGCCAGACTGGCTTTAGACCACCCAGTATTTTGGTAGCAAAGCAAGTGAGTGCCCTCTCTGATTGAGTGGCTGGAAGTGTTTCCTTAACCAGGCGGGTGGAATAACCATTTTGAGAAAGAGGATTGGCATGCTGTCTGACCTAGTTAGGAGTTATAAGACTCAATATCTAATTCTGGCCCTTTCATTTTGAGCTGCATGTCACTCCTCTGTATCATTTTCCTTCCCAGGAAAGAGAGATTAATCATGCAGCCCCTTGGCGCCCAATTCTCCTAAAGGTATAATGAGAATCAGATGTGCTTATGTACAACAACGAGAGTTAACATTTATTCAGTTTCTTAGTACATATATACTAAATACTTTCAGTTCCCTTACATGTGTTATTTAACTGTCACAATCCTGAAATGGAAACACATTTATCCCATTTTACAGATAAGAAAACTGCAGTTCAGAGAGATAAGCCACCCGTATCTTTGGCTCCCGAATGACAGAATGACCGCTCATGATCGCTGTGTCTCATTGCTTCCCGTTCCACGGAGGTGGACAGGCTTGCATGTCTTCACTGTGGAGCCCTCAGCATCTGCAAGACGTTTTTATCTCTCACCACTGCTATTCCTTGTGGATCCCTAAGGAGAGTTAAATTCTCTTGTTTATCTTATCTAGTAGCATATGCTAACTCTTTTCACATTCCCTGGGACTGTTGATGACTTCTTTTGGGTTTCCTCCCAGAGAAACATTCCACGTCCATCATAAAGGGATTTAAAGGAGTTGTCCTTGGAGCCCAGAACCTTGGTAAGCTCCCAGAAATGGTTTCAGTCATGGAATTCCAGAAGGACAAGACACCCAGGTTGCCATTTTACTGATGAGAAAACTGAGGTCCAGACAGGGTGACACCTTGCTTGAGGCCATTCATTGCTTTGAGGGTGTAGCCAAGACCAGTGCCTCAGGCAATAGACCAGTGCTGCTTTCGAGCCTTCCCTGTGGGCTTGTCATCTCCCCACTGAAGGACAAACTGCTGTAGCCTAGCATGCACCTAGGAAACTGGAAAAAGTAAAGAACTGGAGAGTTGGGAAGAGAGAAAAGAGATGGACAAAGCATAGGGTGAAGGTATCCTCTCCAATGTAACAAATTAAAACACACAGCAAAGCAGACTAGGTAGCCTAGTTGTCAGTTATTAAAAGCAGAGGGATCTATGCTGGGAGCCTTGGCACATGAGTTGATAGGAAGCCTTTTGTCACTAATGCTGCAGGGTTGAAAATTGAAGGAAGGATGTTAGGCAAATGTGACGGGCATGGGGTAAGTTACAGCCCCTGGCTCATTGTCCGGAGGAAATGGATCTCTCCTGTGGACGGAGAGGTGGAAACTGAGCAAGTGAGTTGAGTGGTTGACATCATCAGGCTGAGCATTGGATTACAACAAATGGGGACTTACTTGGCCTGAGACGTGGGAAACACCCACTAAAACCTCGAAGTGCTTTTCATTTAGGAGAGAGAGAGAGAGAGAGAGAGAGAGAGAGAGAGGGAGAGAGAGAGAGGGAGAAGGAGGGGAGAGGGAAGGGGAAAGAGAGAAAGAGAGAGAGAGACTGCTGCCTGCACCTTGAGTCTGGACTACTCATTTTAAATCCTGATTTCTTAACTCCACCTTCACTTGTGAGGAGGACAGAGGACATCTGGACTTGGAGGAAACTTTGCTCCTGTGAGTAGAATTGTACCAACCCTCCAGCCCCAACTCCAGGGAGAGGCAGAGCTCTCTGGAGAGCTTGCTTTCCAGCCCGTTGGTCACAGAGGGTCTATTTTTATATTACGATATATGTGAGTTTGCTCTAAATTATAGCTTTCTCTGAAATTGCCTAAGGCTAAAAGCAGAGCCTCAAGTCACAGATGGGCTCCATTCAAATGCTAGTTTACTTTTTCACCCCAAGAACTCTGACGGAGTATCTGGACCTTTAAAAGCAGGGTTTTTGTTGTTGTTTTTGTTTTTTGTGCCAGTTACTGGGAATTGATCCAGGGTCTTCACATTGAGCTACATCCCCAGCTCTTTTTTAAATTTTTATTTTTTATTTTGAGAGAAAGTCTTGCTAAGTTGTCCACCCTGGGTTTGAACTTGTAATCCACCTGCCTCAGCCTCCCAAAGTGCTGGAATTATAGGTGTGTGCCACCTTACCTGGTTTAAAAGCATTTTTGTGCCCCAAATATAGGTGAAGAGCTCAATCCTCTCTTAGAAATTGGTGTTTGTAAACTTTACTTTTTTAATTACAAAGATAGTATGAAATTTTTCGTTTGTTTGTTTTTTGTTTTTTGGTACTGGGGATCGAACTTGGGTCCTTGCACTTGTGCAGCAGGCGGCGCAACCACTGAGCTAAATCCCCGGCGCTAGTATAAAAGTTTTATACCTTCTGCAAAGAAGTATCTCTGAAAATGAAAATTCCCCAGTCTTCTCACAAACCTAAAATTGGTACATATACGGTTAGATTTCATGAGGTTGTTGTATCACATACTGTAGAAGCTGTGTGAAGAACCTCAAAATGGAAAGGAGTAGAAATCTTTAATTTTGGCTTTGTGATCCTTTTATTACTTTCTTCTTTAAATTTGTTGTTTTTACTTAGAAAGCAAACAGAACATGTAAGTCTTGAGGCGTTCTATTTGTTGGCTCTATTTTCAGGAATCTAGACAGAGCAAGCCACTCTGTGTGGGGAGAGGAGCCCTTGTTGCCCCAGCACCCTTCCTGGTAGATCCCTGAGCTGAAGGCTCTCAGGCGGCTGGAGATAGCTTACAGGACAGTGTGGTCTGTTTCTCCTCTTAGCAGGCCAAATATATTTAAAAAGTTACAGTTAAAGAAGAAATAAATATTTCAGCTTTGAAAAACTAAAAGCAGGACTGGGAGTGTAGCACAGTGGTAGAATATTTGCCAGCATATGTGAAACCCTTCATTTGATCCTCAGTACCACAAAAAAAGAAAGAAAAGAAGAAAGAAGAAAAAGCTACCATATATTAGAAGGATCACCCAAGGAAATTGTTCGACCTTGGGGCAAGTGTTTCATACTCTCTGGATCTCAGTTTCCTCATCTGTACCAAAAGGAGAGGGTAAAACTTAGATAATCTTGATATTTCCAAATTAAGCTTGGAATGAATCATCTGTGTTTCTTTTTCTTTGAGCCAGATCTTTACGGCCTTAGGTTTTCAGTATCCCAGAGTGGCTAAAAACTGGTACCTGTAGGACAATTAAAAGAGGACATAAATCAGGCAGTATTAAGTTACTTGTGAATTTTTTTTATTTCAGTAGCAGGAATTGAACTCAGGACCTTGCATGTGCCAGGCAGGAGCGGCACCACTGAGCTACATCCCCAGCCTGTGAATTTTAATGGTTTTGTTTTTTTTTTTCTACCAGGGATCGAACTCAGGACTTTGTGCTTGTGAGGCAGGTGACAGAACCATTGAGCTAAATCCTCGGCCTTTTAATGTTTTTTCCAGGCTTAGTGTTTCTGAAGATAGAGGGGGGGGAAAGCCTCAGTAGTTGTGTATTTGTGTGTACACACATGCACACACAAGCATGCTCTCTTGAGCATTATGGTTTGTGTCTAGCTATCCCCCTAAAGCCTCATGCGGTCATAGGTGGGGCCTTTTGGATCTAGGGTGTGAGATGCCGGAATTAAGGATGTGATACTGGGACTGATTCAGGGTACAATGCTAGGATTAAGGCTGTCCCACCCTGGGTGTGAGTGCTACTTGCTTTAAGGGTGGGTACCCTGGATAGGATTTAGGGAACAGAAAAAGGGCTGCAGCTGTCACCACTCGCCACTTATCACTTGCTTGCTTACTGCTTCGCTACTTTGCTGCCTTCTCTTCGATGCCACCATACCTTGGAGCCAGCTAACTATGAACTGACGCCTCTACAAACTGTGAGCTACAATAAACTTTTCCTTCCTTAACTTAAAAACTTTAGGTATCAAGTATTTTGTCTCAGCTATGAGAAAAGTAAGATAGGGAGAGAGGAAAAAAAGAATTAACATTATCGATCCCCTCTTAAGTGGTAGGCCCTGTTTGTATTCAACCTTTTATATCACATTAGATGATCAAGATTATTATTCCCTAACTCCATTGACTGGGAGTAAATGTCCACTCCATGTTCCCATATTAGCCTGAACTCCTGTCTAGAGTTTACCTGAACTACACTTGTAATATTGGCATAAATTCAATTCTGTGTCTCCACTAGACCTCAGGCACCGTCTTTGTGTCTGCTTAGCTCATCCATGCGACAGGGCCTAAGAGAAAGCCTGGCACAAAGAAGACACAACTCACTTTTTACTTAAAACCTACCTTTCGTAGTTTCTAGTTTGGCGTGACAGAGGGAGAAAGGCAGGAAGGGATCACTTGTTTTGCCTCCCTGACCTGCCTTCTTTTGACTTAAATATGGCTGCCGCTGTTGCAGGGAAAAGATGGCTACAGCCACATTGTTAATCTAAGGGCTTTCATTTTTGTTTTGTTTTCCTTTCCTCCCCCCCACCCCGCCCCCATCTCTCTATGTCTGCCTTCCTTCCTTTTTCTTTCCTTCCTATTTTTTTCCTCTTCTTGGTAGTGCTGGGTATTGAACCCAGCATTTACCAGTGAACCACACCAAGGACTCTTCATCTTTAAAGTCAAAAGGAACCCTAATCCTCAGAAAGATGTGTTATTTAGAAACTGTTTGTTTGAATTAAGGTCATGGTTAGCAAGAGAGTTCACATAGCCAGCCCCTTGGCATATTTTAAAGCTGCAGTCTCCCAGTGACCAAGTCCATTGAAAATAGACTATTGCTGCCACAGAACCAACCGTGGGCCTGGACATTTGGAAGCTGGCGCCTCCTCCTCCTTCTTACCTTAGTGCTCCAAGATCTTGAGATACTGGATAATAAAAAAGTCACCTGTCTTCTAAGGTGGTAGTGAGGAGGTAAAGCTGCAAAGATGGTACTTGAACCTTGTGGGCCCTGTCATTTCCTAATGGAAAGTGGTGGGATGCCTCACACATACACCTTGGAAACAGGTTATTAATATGGCCCAAAGCTGAGCTCACTAGCTCCTGGAAAGCCTTCAGCAGTGCCATATGAAGATTTTGAGCATCACTCCTTCAAGGAAGCTGCAGTCAGCTATGATGCCAAGTGATTCTGAATTGCAGATTAAAATGCATCCATTCTTACCGGAGAAAGCCTGCATTTCTTAACAGTAAAAGAAGCCTTGTTAGTCTTCCAAGAACTTACTGGCTCCCACTTGATTCTTAGGACTGAATAATGGATCTTCAAGCCACAAAGGAAATGAAGTATCTGGTGGCTGATGCTTTTTTATTATGTCCCAGAGTCCTGGGTCAGTTATGTGTAGCACTTTGTAGGTGTGGTCTCTATCATTCAATGGATATGTATTGCAGGCTCGGGATACAGATCAGTGGTAGAGCACTTGCCTTGCATGTGTGAGACCCTGGGTTCGAATATGTATCGAGAGCCTTCTCATACTAAGCACTGGACTACAGGAACAGGGTGATTAAAAAGAAGCAGCCACTGGTCTTGTGTTCTCTGTGCATCAGGGGAGATGGCAGGTGAGAGAATGATTTCTATGGCATGTGAAAAGTTGTACAAGAGAAACACGCAGAGGGGCTACAGAATGCCAGGTAGTGGATCACACCTAGTGAGGCCTTGATCTCATGCTTGTTCATTACTCCTACACTCTTCGCAGCTCCTGAGGCTCTGAGCTCACCAGCATTTACATTGGGAGAGCCAGCTTCTGCACTGGAGGAAGCACTCACTCCTAGCATCTTCCTGTCCCC